TGTATACTGATCAATATGATCAATATGATCAATATCCTCCTAACTGCTGCTGACCAAACTAACTGCTGATGTCATCATCACCTGCTTCAGTTGTACATAAAGCCTCGGGTCCTGATGAAGATGATGAAGATGATGAAGATGATGACCTGAGAGTCAGTGCAGATCAGCAGCTGTAGTCTAATCATCAATACGATATGTGATTGATTGACCCTTCCTAAGCCCCGCCCCTTTGTGCTCTGTGCTCCAATCACAGTTGAGCAATCCTCGGTCCACTTCCTCCTCTCCTGTGCTTAGATATGCTACATGCTAAGCTAACGTGTGTTTGAGAGACAACCACATTGTGAAGATGCTAAAAGACAAAAGAGACAAATATATAATCTCATCTTAAGTCATTACATCAAACATGAGTTCATATATATAAATATAAAGGTTTATTACAGATATATCTTCTGATTTTCTGCTTCCTGTCTCTGTTGTCATGCCGACGGTCAGGACTCGGAGCGCGAGTCGTCTCTGGGGAAAGGAGACTTCCAGCAGCAGGTCTCCAGACCCGGCGAGGCGTCCCACAGCAGGACGTGCTCCTCCGGTCTGAAGAAGGATGGTGTGGACCTGGACCTGGAGGACGAGCCCGACGAGGGAGACTCTTTCTTTGATGACCCGCTGCCCAAACCGCAGAAGACCTACGGCTGGTGAGGAACGCCTGACCTTTCACCTCTCACCAGTCACAGCTGAGGAAAGGTTCACACAGTGTCACTGTGGCTGAGAGTAGCTTAGCTTAGCATAAAGACTGGAAACAGTGGGAAACTGCTAGCCTGGCTTTCTATAAACCACATTACCAAACAACAGATAACATCTTAAGGTATCTTCAGACGGGGAGCGACTACAGCAATCACAGGTATACATAGTGAACTGATGATGTGAAGAAATCTTTTTATTGTTGTTGTTGTTGTTGTTGTTATCAACATTATCACAGGATCAGCATCAGTTCCTTTCAGTCTCTGTCAAACATTGAGATATTGAGTGTTCTCTGTGAAGTTCTTCAGAAAGGACCGACAGTCTCACTGACCCTCTGCAGAGCTCCAGGATAAACCGTCTCTGGACAGATCAGCTTTAAAGCTCTTGTCTCCTCAGCAGAGATCCATTCTCCACTTTCAGGACACTATTTCTCAGATAAATATCCTAAACTCAAGGTCCACTGACTTCAGCTGTCTGCTGAGCGTTTGACCACCTCTCAGGGTTCAACGTGAGGCGAGACGCTGTCACTGCTGAGACGTTTGTAGGAAACGTGATGTTCCTCCAGCTGGGACTAACAACTATTTATAATCGATAATTGATCTGATCAGTTCCTCCATTAATTGATTATTTGTTTGCTCCATCGACTTGCAGATAGCAGAAAATATTCACTTTCAGAAGATGCAATCAGAGAATTTGGATCGATTATCCAAACATTTGTTGATTAATAGCTGACAACAAATCAGTTCACGAATCGTCGCAGTCGTTGGTTCTTCAGCTCATGATCCGTTCATTCTTACCATCCGCACTGAGCCTGTGCAGCTCTCCACAGAGAGGAGACGGCGCTCGCTGCCTGCAGATGTTTGTGGATCAGCTGTGATTATCCAGATAATTGATAATTGGTCAGCTGATTAATGGTTGTGTGATAGTTCGGTAACTAGTGTGAGTTGTAATGAAATGGGAGAAACATTCTAAAACAATCTTTTACAATCGTCTGCTGCAGAAAATCAATAGTTCCCTCATCCAGTGGAGAGAACGGGAAGGATTATTCCTCTTTTAATGCCGCTCTGGAGACTTTAAGCTTCTTACAGACTCAGACGAGTCTCACAGCTCCATGTTGTCTTCAGTTCTCTGTGCAGACCCCCCCCCCCCCNNCCCCCGTCGTCTGAGGATGCACTGATGATCAACTCACCTGAACGTGTGGAGACGTACAGGAGTCCTCAAAGAGTCTACAACATATTAAAGATATTAAAGACAATGTGAACCATCTATATGTTGTCACCAGTGATGGTCAAACACAGCACAGTCATTTAGTTCTGTCTAATAATGCTACACACAGGAACATACAGGAAGTGGAAATCGGTGCATCTTCAGTCTCTGAGCTCGTCCTACCTGTCCAGGTGTCTCTTTTATCTCCTCAAACTGTCTTTATGTCCCCACTTTGTCTTAAATGTCCTTTTATCTCTGTTCTAATTCCTGTCTCCTCCTTGCTTACTCCCACCTGTGCGCCCCCCCCCCCCCC